ATACCTGATCTTGAAATTTGTAATACAAATTCAAAAAAGGGGTCAGCTAAAGCAGAGTTAATTCAATATATGATCTACATGCTACATAAATTACATTCTTGATATCTATATAACCCACTAACCATAACTGCGTCAAAAAGGTAACCCTAAACTTCACTCCGCTTTAGCCGACCAAAATTGAATATATGAAACTACTCTTTCTGTTCTAACAAAAAATATTCCTTGCCAAATTTTACTATAAAACACGTTTTCTCACATGCGTACTATCTTTATCTCACCCTAACCCTAACTAACAAAGAAAAGTAATATTTTAGTTATATTGGTAAAAACTTTTTGCCACTTTTCTATTGACAAGCTCCCAAATGCTTAAATATTGTTATTGAATCAACAAGTCAACATAATGCAAATGGCCAACAATAACCTCATCTTATATTTTCTCATTTTCTTGTTTTCTTCTATACCTGCTGAAATTTCATATAACTTGCCTGGTAGGAACCAAAACTGCTACAATCTTTTGTTCATTTCCTAACTCTAAATTATTAAATAAAAGTTCTTGTTAGAGAGATGGTTTCGCGCGGGTACTGACACAACATATTATCTTATGGGAGTAGATTCTGCTATATATTATAGAAATCTAGTAAGCTATATATTTTTGTTATATTGTAAATTTGCATATTGATATGGATATATATATTTTTTTTAATAGTCCGGAATAAGTGGATTTATAAAATTTGATACATTTTACGAAAATAAATTAAATCCTAATTCTTTTGGTGCTTTTGTGCAGAGTTTTATTCCTCAAGGATTTTTAAACCAGCAAGTTAAATTAACATGTTATGTGAAATATGCTGTAAGAATTCTTATCAATCATTAAATATGCAATATATTGTACTTCATTTTTTATTTACCGTATTCACGGTCCAAACCACCCTCCTTCAGTAAAATAATTATCAGTCATGCGGTTATTTCTATGGTGCATATAATAGTTTATTTATGTGTAACAATATACGTACAGCAATAACCCTGTTACAAAAAAAAATCTTTGATAAAAAAAAGCTTGATCAAATATTATAACAATTAAATGAACGTTTAATCAAATTTGTATCAAGTGAATTCCAGGCAGTTCCCACCTACAAAGCAAGTAGTGAATACGATAGTTTTCTAATTCGTCCTGAGGGAGTTAATTTATGAATTGCTTCTGCCATCCAACTATTATACAACACCCGAACTTTATCTTTAAAACTTTTATTAATACTAACATCTAATGGTTGTAATTTAGATGTAAGTTCACCAGAAATCACAGCAATATCTGTATTACGAATATGCATACGTAGTTTAACTGGATCTACTAAATGTGCACAAAAGGAGTCAAGTATTAAAAGGGATCTTGGATTGTCAGAAGCTCTTCTAGACCAAACATTCTTGATCCACTACAGCATTTCATTTTCATTAGCCCAACCTTTTTCATTTGCCCGGACAATAACATTATGAGGAAAGATTTCTCGAGGTATGTTTTTCTTTTAAATATGCATACTGTGGTAGTTTTGTTCTATCGGCTAAACATGTGAGAATGACAGTAAAATTTTTTTTTCATTACCAGTAGTTTGAATACTAACAGTGTAGACTCCTCGCTTTTCAATTGTTGATGGATTTGGTAAATCAAACGTGAGGGAGTTTCATCCATATTTCCTATCAAAAATAAAGGGTAATTGTGTTGAATTCGTAAATTTAAAATGTAGTTAAGAA